GATAAACAAAAACATATTTTATAGGAAACAAAAGCTTGATTGTAAGTCTTTTAGTGAATGTAGATGACAATCTGTTGGATTTGATTTTGCTTGGAATTCTTTGGTAATTTATTTTGATTCTTTGTTTGTTTGTGTGCGCTTGCTTTCTTTCTTTCTTTCTTTCTTTCTTTCTTTCTTTCTTTCTTTCTTTTTTTCCATTGTTTCTTTCTTTCTTTGTTTTTTCTTCAGACACATTTGACTTTTCTGCCCGTTTGTTTGTGCTGTGAAAATGTGACAATCTTTATCTAGATCCTTATTTAGATTAAGCGTAGATTAAACATCATTTTCTGTGGAATTATTGTGTTTGTCTATTTTTTTTTTAAATGATGCTCAAGCGACATTACATTACTGAAGAACCAGGAGAACAATGATTAACCAATAAAAATAAAAAAACCTGAAGATTTTCTTTAAAAACACTTTAAAAAAAAGACATGAAAATTACTAAAATCTTGGAAATCTCTGTAATTAATATAAATTCACAGCTTCTGCTTTTTTTGAGTGTAATCTTTATAAAAATGATTACAAAATAAAACCCAGGTCACTCTTAGAAAAAAAGATTAAATGTTTTTTTAAAGTAGTTCTTAAATGATTCCATAATACTTTCACATTTAATACTTTAAAAAAAATTCTAGTGAAAAAGTATGTTTATGAGCTGTTTAATAAAAAATTTAAAAAATCCATAAAGTTATGCCGGGAACCGGTTCTATAGCTAATATGAAGCGTTTCATGTATAACATTTTTAAAGTTTACTTGAAAAGTGTGGAAAGCCATTGGTCAAATGCATGGGAATCAGGGATGAATGAATGACCTCAAATGTATTTCCAAGGAGTTTCACGTCAGTCGTCTGTCGGTGTGGATTTGTGTACAGAAAACACCGCGGCTTCTCCTGAATACCGATGATGTGGAAGGGGAGGGAAACACACACACACACACACTACCAGATATGAAGCAGGTGCAGTGCAAAATGAAACTACAACTTTACTCAATTTTTCGTGTTTGACTTCCTCGTTCAGCGTTTCCTCAACGAAAGAACGCCTCCTTCACTGGACCCTCATTTGCATTCCGAGCAAACAAACAATTCACGCCGAAGCAGGAAAAGAAATGCGTGGCTAATTCGGAATCTCAAAAGCCAATTCACTGGTCATTTTCTTAGCGAGTGAGACCCTAATTATTCTCCGCCCGCACATGTAAAGACACCCAGCTGCTCTGCGGCGTGATTCCCATGGCCTCCCCCATCGAGACCACACGCTCTGGGGGAACGACCCCCATCAAACCCCGGCTCTTTTGTCTGTGGTTTGTAGTTCAGTGTGTCTATTGTCCGGTTCCAGCTCTCGAGTTCTGGCCTGAAGCTCAGCGAACCGCTGTAGACCCGGTTAAAGGGAATGGCGTGTAAATAAGGGTGTGTGTGTGTGTGTGTGTGTGTGTGATGGCGCGTCTGGAAACTAGGATTTAAATTATTGGAGGCCCGGAGGATTGCGGTTTAATCTACTAACATTTCACCTGGAGATCAGTTTTACAAATAGGAAAGTGGTGGTGGTTTCTGGGGTCGGACAGCAATGAAAAAACTATAGGACTATATGGAAATAATAAAACATATCGTCTCCTTTCTCTTACCGTTCTAACATGGTACAAAAATCAGGATAATACCATGGCCATGCTCTAATTTTTTTTTCATTAGTGACATATTTATGTGCTAAATGAGCTACTGTAAAAAATAGTACCACCCAGCAACACCCTAGCAACAACCCAGCAACACCCTAGCAACAACCCAGCAACACCCTAGCAACAACCCAGCAAAACCTCACTAATCATTCAGAACAGCTCTGAAAGGTATTCTAGTATTAACGAGCTAATAATGCTCACAACACATAGGCACCCACCTAGCAAAAGCTTAGCAAACACTCTAAACACCCTAGCAACTCCTTAGCAACCACTCTAAACACCTTAGCAACCACCCAGCAATGCCTTAACAATCACTCAGAACAGCTGGAAAATGCATACTTGTATCAACAAGCTAATAATGCTCACACCACATGGGCAACCACCTAGCAACACCTTAGCAACCACTCAGAACACCCTAGCAACCCCCAGAAACACCTTAGCAATCACTCAGAACAGCTATGAAATGCCTTCGTGTATCAACAGGCTAATAATGGTCACAACACATGATCAACCACTTAGCAACACCTTAGCAACCACTCAGAATACCTTAGCAACCACTAATAATACCCTAGAAACCCCCAGTAACCACTCAGTACAGCATGAAAATGCATTCTTGATTCAACAAGCTAAAAATACCCACATTACTCGAGCAACCACCTAGCAACACCCTAGCAATCACTCAGAACAGCTAAGAAATGCATTCTTGTATCAACAAGTTAATAATGCCCACAACACGTGGGCAACCACCTAGCAACACCTTAGCAACCACCCAGAACACCATAGCAACCCTCAGCAACTCAAATTAGCCTAGAATATGTTTCCAGACAAATTCTGGCAAAAGTAGAACAATATTTTATGCTTTGCCGAATTGCAAATCCGATCTAGACGATATTAAATATCGCTTCACTTGTGAGTTTGTGTGGGGAAATATATACATTCACGAGTTCACACTTACATACAATTAGAGGGAGTAAAGTTTAATGCGTATTTGACGTGCTGTCCGGGGGGAGGGAGTTCGGCCCGAACCCAAAGAACATATGCCCGAAACCCCCCCCCCCCCCCCCCCCCCCTCCCTCCCTCCCTCCCTCCCTCCCTCCCTCCCTCCCTCCCTCCCATATGTAAATGGTTAGGACTAAAAGAGTGGAGAAGGGGTGGTGGAGGGGTGCTGCAAAACAGTCAATGGGTTGAGGTGAGACTGCTGAGTCTATATATACACCTCTTATCGTTGATTGCTGAGTGCTCTCCACCCGTGTTAATTATCTGAGTGTGCTCCTCCCAAACTTTGTTAATAAAACATCATATGAATGACTGTTCTAAAAATAAAATATTTAGTATGTCACAACATTTTGCATATTGTTTTAATTTCTATTGATTATAAGGACATTTAATTTTCTGCCATGACTGATTGTGGTGTCCACTTAAAATCTGCATCCTTGAGCATGAAACAGCTGAAGGACTGGACTAGACAACTAGCAAATGAGAAACAAGCACGCCATGACTAGTTGTACTCTTTGATGAGCGCGCTGTCGTCTCTTTGACTTAATTAGATGTGTGTTTTGCCCTCGCTTATCAAAAAGCTTCATGTAATTTCCATTTCACCACAGCTAGCACATTTGCATGTATTCCCCAGACGACAGGAAGTCTTTGTAGGAGAAGTGAAGTTGAAACTTGGATGTCTTCACCTCGCAAGGCCAGCGGTGGGAGACCTTGACCTCTGAACGCACGGCCGGGGACATCTGGTGCCTGGCCATGTTTATTTATTTATTTACCTCATAACAAAAGACAGGTGGTCACACTTGAAAAGGAGCAATACAGCCTCACACACACACATGCACATAAAACAGGAAAACGAGCAACGCTCTGTCAGAGACGAGACCTTTGTGTCTTATATAATTAACTTCAAGTCGATATATCCTCAATGTCACCTTATTAGCACTGTGAGGTCATACAGTGACGGTGTGAGATGCTCATACTATGATACTTTGCTAAATAGGCTACCATGATATTGAATTCATGCACTAACGCATTTTCAAGGAATCTAACAAAATAGCACAATCAAAACATGGTACAGAAATCATGATAATACCATACATATTATTATGGCGCTTCTATGTGTTGAATGAGCCACTGTAAAAAAAAAAAAAAAAAAAATTCATAAAAACCTTAGTAACCAATCAGAACACCCTAGCAACACCTTAACAACCACTCAGAACAGCTATAAAACACGTTTATTATATTCATGCAACATTGTACATATATATTTCAAAGAACGGCATGTAGTCCATGCTTAAAAATCATGTTAATACCAATGTACCAAACCTTTATGTTGTGTCAAAAAGCTAAAAAGGCTCACAACACCTTAGCAACCACTCAGAACACCCTAGCAACACCCTAGCAACCACTCGGATCCCCCAAGCAACCAGTAAGAACAGCTAGAAAACACATACAGTATGATTATTATATTCATGCACCATCATAAACAAAATATTAATTTATAGCAACTATATAAAAAAAATACTCAGAACAATAAAAGCAACAACCCAGCAACACCCTAGCGACCACCCAGAACAGCTAGAAAACACATCGGATTATTATATTTATGCACAATCATACAAAATATTTCAACGAACAGTATGTAGACCTAACACGGTACCCTGCCAAAAAATGAGGTTAATACCACTGTACATTTTGGTACTTTTTTGTTTGTATATCCTCCGTATCCAACAAAAACACCTTAAACCACAATCACCCTAGCAACCACTCAGAACAGCTAGATAATACATTCTTGTATCAACAATCTAATAATGCTCACAACACATGAACAACTACCTAGCAACACCTTAGCAACTACTCAGAACACCTTAGGAATGACCCAGCCACGCCTTAACAATCACTCAGAACAGCTGGAAAATGCATTCTTGCATCAACAAGCTAACAATGCTCAGAATACATGAACAGAAACCTAGCAACACCTTAGCAACCACTCAGAACATCACAACAACCACCCAGCAATGCCTTAACAATCACTCAGAACCGCTGGAAAATGCATTCTTGTATCAACAAGCTAATAATGCTCTGAACACATGAACATCAACCTAGCAACACCTTAGCAACCACTCAGAGCACCCTAACAACCACTCAGAACACCTTAGCAACCACTCAGAACAGAAAGAAAACACATTCTTATATCAACAAGCTATAAATGCACACATTTCTTTTAGCAACTAACCAGAACCCCTTTGAATCATAATGGATAATTACACATGGCAAACTTTGACTATTAAGACTAGTGAAAATGGTAGTTTTCAAAACTTGCACCGTGGAACATATTTCAAAGCTTGCATTAACAAGCACCAAACACCGTTGGCCCCTAAATTAATAACTAATTATCTTTGCAATGGAAGTGAATCAATCAAAACTAACTTTAGCTTGACAATAACTTTATTCTAGCGCTGCTGTAAAGCCAAAACAATCTCTGTTACTGTAATCTCCTATTATCACTGTAAAGCTGCTTTGAAACAGTCTATATTGTTAAAAGTGCAGTATAAATGAAGGTGACTTGACTAGAGCGTAAGACGATGGAGGAGCAGCCGAACACAGCTGTCACTCCTTCACCACACACACACACACACACACACACACACACACACACACACACACACACAGGCGTATTTATAGCGAGGCATCAGCGAGGCAGGCCTGTGTCTCACTGTCTCTCTGAGCACAGCTGTTCCCGGACTCAGAGCCACACGCCTGGACTTAAGCCGGTCCCGGAGTCAGCAGGGCCCGGCAGGCCGTCGGGTCCCTGGCATGCGGCGCAGAGAAAGAGGAGCCGCCTCGGAAGCCACAGCCCTGACCTTTTACAGTAAAACACTCCTGATGAAAGTCTAGACAGCTGCAGAGAAGGAGCAGACAAAGGAACATGTAGAGGAACATCTGACAGCTTTCCAGTCTCCACAGCACGCCCTCAATATCATGATCCGGGTTAGAAGATCGTGGCATCATTTACTCGCCGTCATGTCAAGTCAAGTCTCCATGTCTAAAAAAAGTACTGAATTTACAGGAATTTACTGGCAAAAAAAGTTGCCAATAAAGTCCATGTATAAATGTTGTAATTGCTGTAAAATTACAGTATAAAGCAATGTACAGTTAATTGTATGTGAAATACAGTAATTTGTAGTGTTTTTTTTACAGTAACTTTGAAAATAAGCTTGTCGTTTATTTTACAGCAATATTTAGTAATCTCACTAAAATACAGTATTTACCCGGCAAAAAAAGTTGCCAATAAAATAGTGTAAAAATGTTAATTGCTGTAAAATTACAGTATATTACTGTACAGCAATTTACAATTAATTGTTGTATGTGAACTACAGTAATTTGTAGTGTTTTTTACAGTAACTTTTAAATTAAGCTTGTCGTTTATTTTACAGCAATATTTAGTAATTTCACTAAAGTACAGTATTTACCCGGCAAAAAAAGTTGCCAATAAAATAGTGTAAAAATGTTAATTGCTGTAAAATTACAGTATATTACTGTACAGCAATTTACAATTAATTGTTGTATGTGAACTACAGTAATTTGTAGTGTTTTTTACAGTAACTTTGAAATTAAGCTTGTCGTTTATTTTACAGCAATATTTAGTTATTTCACTAAAGTACAGTATTTACCCGGCAAAAAAAGTTGCCAATAAAACCCTGTAAAAATGTGAATTGCTGTAAAATAACAGTATATTACTGTAAAGCAATTTACAATTAATTGTTGTATGTGAAACAGTGATTTGTAATGTTTTTTTACAGTAACTTAATATACTTAAACTATATTTTACAGCACCTTTTTTGTAATTTCACTAAAGGAGGATCATTTACTCCCCTTCATGTCTTTCGTCTGCAGGACACTCTGAAGACTCTTCCATACAATTATGAAGTGAAAAGTTTTCAAGCTTCAAAAAGGATGTACAAGTATCATAAGAGTAGTCCATACGACTACTATATTTCAGGTCTTCTGATGCTTTCTGTAAGAAGCAGACCCATATTCGGATCATTATTCAGTGATCTGTCTCATGGATTACAGACAGATGTTTGATTCGGCTCAATCACTGATGTAAGAGCTGCATGTGAGAGCATTTACAGAAATACTTTATTTAAATATTCCTAAAAATAACATGTATTAGAGGAAACATTTTGTCATATAAGCCAAAAAGTTGTGTAATAAAGACTTCCTGTACAGTATTAATTTGATTTTTTTTGTGTGTGTGTGGGGTTATTTTATTCAGCAAGTACTGTGGTTTTTTCTCTTGCTTCAACTCAAACTGAAAGTATTCTTGAGGGTTCAGGGTCCAATTGAGCTTAAAGTTTCCAAAGGCAAATTAATGGTTGCATGGATACATTTTAAAGACTCCCGTTTAATTCTGAAAAAAAGCATCACAATTAAAGCAGATTTAATTAAGTTTTGCTGGTGAATATTCCTGACAAACACTCAGAACCACTAATGAACTGTTCAGCTGCTGCCCTCTAGTGACCACACATGATCAGCACTATTAATAATGTTCATAATTAAACTAATGCACTCAAATACTACATTTCAGAAAACATTGCTTTGCTCAAAAAAAAAAAAAAAAAAAAAAACTCCACACAACAATTAGGAAAGCATCAACATCAAGTATTTATTTCATTAAGTATGTACACAAGTAAAGGGAAAGAGCAGGAAACAATGCAGGCATATATAAAATAGTAATCTCATTTACATTTAATAGGTAAAGCATTAAAAATAATCTTGGCATGCACCCATCAGTTGAGAGCGCTCCTCCATCAGGATGAACATCCACAGCAGAGGACTCGCTCGTAGCGCTCGCTGTAACTGCGGACAGAGAGAGCGGATCAGACCCCCGGATCATCAGACCCCCGGATCATCAGACCCCCGGATCATCAGACCCCCGGATCATCAGACCCCCGGATCATCAGACCCCCGGATCATCAGACCCCCGGATCATCAGACCCCCGGATCATCAGACCCCCGGATCATCAGACCCCCGGATCATCAGACCCCCGGATCATCAGACCCCCGGATCATCAGACCCCCGGATCATCAGACCCCCGGATCATCAGACCCCCGGATCATCAGACCCCCGGATCATCAGACCCCCGGATCATCAGACCCCCGGATCATCAGACCCCCGGATCATCAGACCCCCGGATCATCAGACCCCCGGATCATCAGACCCCCGGATCATCAGACCCCCGGATCATCAGACCCCCGGATCATCAGACCCCCGGATCATCAGACCCCCGGATCATCAGACCCCCGGATCATCAGACCCCCGGATCATCAGACCCCCGGATCATCAGACCCCCGGATCATCAGACCCCCGGATCATCAGACCCCCGGATCATCAGACCCCCGGATCATCAGACCCCCGGATCATCAGACCCCCGGATCATCAGACCCCCGGATCATCAGACCCCCGGATCATCAGACCCCCGGATCATCAGACCCCCGGATCATCAGACCCCCGGATCATCAGACCCCCGGATCATCAGACCCCCGGATCATCAGACCCCCGGATCATCAGACCCCCGGATCATCAGACCCCCGGATCATCAGACCCCCGGATCATCAGACCCCCGGATCATCAGACCCCCGGATCATCAGACCCCCGGATCATCAGACCCCCGGATCATCAGACCCCCGGATCATCAGACCCCCGGATCATCAGACCCCCGGATCATCAGACCCCCGGATCATCAGACCCCCGGATCATCAGACCCCCGGATCATCAGACCCCCGGATCATCAGACCCCCGGATCATCAGACCCCCGGATCATCAGACCCCCGGATCATCAGACCCCCGGATCATCAGACCCCCGGATCATCAGACCCCCGGATCATCAGACCCCCGGATCATCAGACCCCCGGATCATCAGACCCCCGGATCATCAGACCCCCGGATCATCAGACCCCCGGATCATCAGACCCCCGGATCATCAGACCCCCGGATCATCAGACCCCCGGATCATCAGACCCCCGGATCATCAGACCCCCGGATCATCAGACCCCCGGATCATCAGACCCCCGGATCATCAGACCCCCGGATCATCAGACCCCCGGATCATCAGACCCCCGGATCATCAGACCCCCGGATCATCAGACCCCCGGATCATCAGACCCCCGGATCATCAGACCCCCGGATCATCAGACCCCCGGATCATCAGACCCCCGGATCATCAGACCCCCGGATCATCAGACCCCCGGATCATCAGACCCCCGGATCATCAGACCCCCGGATCATCAGACCCCCGGATCATCAGACCCCCGGATCATCAGACCCCCGGATCATCAGACCCCCTGATCAACTAGTATCGGCAGACCAGAAGTGGTTCGACTATAATAAGTTCTCTTTAAATAAAAAATAAAACTAAAATTTATGATATTTTCTGGTAATAGGACTCATAGCAATTCTAAGTTACATTTAAATGGAGTTGAAATTGAGTTTATGAAACCAAATTTTTAGGTGTGATCTTAGATAATAAACTTAGTTGGAAAGTGCATATTGAATACATTAGAAGGTAGCAAAATCAGTAGGAATATTGTATAAAACAAAAGACCTAATAAATAAAAATGGGTTTGAGTATTATATATTCCTCCTTAGTTATGCCTTGTCATATTGATCAGAAATATGGGGAAATGCAAATAAAACAAATATAGTTGTATTAAGTAAGTTACAAAAAAGAGCTATTAGACTTAATAAAGTAGGATACCGCGAACCAACTAATAAACTCTTTATTCAAAGTAACACCTTAAAATTTTCAGATATTGTATATTTAAAATATTGGAAATAATGTATAGAGAATTTAATAAAAGTCTCCCATCTGGTATTCAGAAATTATTTGAGTTAAGAGAGGGTAGATACAAGTTAAGAGGCCTGTTTATGTTTGAATGTGGAAAAGAAAGAACCAATGTAAAATCTAGATGTGTATCAGTTATGGAATTTACTAAAAGATGATTTGAAATTATGTACTTCTTTGCCTAGCTTTAAAAGATGTTTAAAAAAGAAAATTGCTAATGAGTATTCAGTTAGTATGTAAATTGTTAATATTATGTAAAAAAATGCATGTATAATTATGTATACTTTTTTTTAAATAATTTATAATACTGATTTGTACTTCTGTTTAGCTTCAAAAGATCTTTAAAAAAAAGAAAATTGTTAATGATTCAGTTAGTATATAAATTGTTAATATTAAAAAAAAAAAAAAAAAAAAAAAAAAAAAAGTGCAGTATAGTATAATTTATAATGCCGATTCTTCAGGTATATGGTTAAATAGGGTAGGCAAACATAAGCCTCGGCTTCAGCCTCCTTTTTTTTTGGGTTATTTCATTGTAAATTTACCAGAAAAAATAAATAAAAACCAGAAGCAGGAGTGTGTTTCCCGAACGACGGCGTACAGTAACTCGCGGGTTCACTACTATAGTACGATACATCGATGAAGAGATCTAGCGAGTCACGACTGTTTCCCGAAACCATATTCAGTCCTTCCAGAAAAACGCGGAGTTTTTTTGTGATTGTTGCGGGCAAAAATCCTTGATTATGCGGCCCGTTTTCTTTAAAAATGCGATGGAATATGCGGGATATTTATGCAATTTTTTGCGATGAAATTGCGGGAACTTGCAAAAACTGCGGTTTGATGAAAAAGAGGGAAAAAAAGTGATTCCCCCAACACCCTGTTCTCACTAGGCTACTACCTTAATGTAAAGAGTCCTTTCTTATTACTTCCTATGATAAGCAAGCATACTACATCACAGAAAGTGCTGGAAATATTTAATTTCTCATCTTGTTTTATTTCAGACTGTATCGAGTGGAAATAAGGTGTGGCCCCTTTAAGAGTTGCGCGCTGCCTGTCTAACTGTCTGCAGTATTATATTGTATATTGCGCCTCGAACACCCCATGTGTGCGGGTAATTTCTGTTTGATGCTACTTCTTTTATCTTATTTTGTTTATTAAGTAACGATGTGGACGGTAGAACGTGTGACAGACAGTTATACGAGTTCGATTTGGGAATAAAGTGCAAGTTGTGAGATGCCAATCGCCTCCGTGAGTCTGTCTGGCCTCTGCAATAACTTCAGCTGTGAGCTATCCCTAATTTTCTTCCCGACACAACGCGTTACAAGACCTTAATATACACATCAAACTTACAAAACATTGCTGAGTCAAACAAGTTCTGTAGCTTTACTAGAGGAATATGCTACAACTTCAGTAAAAATGAATAAATATTAATATATTTATATTATATGAATATAAAAATATTTTAAAATAAAGCGTGCTCCTGTTTGACAGCTTTTCAATGATGTTCACGTCACGTAATTACGTCACTTCATAACGTTCCCATGGTAACAGGGGGAAATGGCTGCTGTTGTGTGAAGCAAATGCAACATTTTCCAACTTTCTGCTAAGATATGTGACTTTTGCGACGAAAATGCGGGGATTATGAAATCATGCAAGCCCCGCATATTTTGCGCGGAAATCAGCATTTTAATGCGGCGAAATTGCGGAGTATTTGAAAAAATGCGACCCCCGCATAAATATGCAGACTTTGGCTGATTTTGCATTGAATTCAGCGATCGCATAATCGCGTTTTTCTGGAGGGACTGATATTGTTGCAAATTGGTCGTTCAACCAAGCCGGTTAATGATGTCACGCATGCGGAGGAGTAATAACTACTGTTAATAATCGAATTAATGCGAGAGGTTTTGCTATAAATTACTGACTATTTCTCATTTTTCTCAGTTATTTTGCTCTATTTCCAGATTCAACATCAGCCTGTTCTTACGCACTAGAGCTCGTTCACACATGCGCACTCAACGCTTTAAATCTCGACAAACTTAAAGATGTAAATGACATTTGTATGTATTCTTAATAAAAGACACAGGTTGCACTGAATGTCGGCTTGCTTGTTTTGCTCAAGATCAGGATTTATTGAGTCCACACGTCATGCAATCTACAAAAAATGCTTCTAAACACAGCTCGAGATCTGACACACAAAACTCTGCGATGCTGTTTGCGAATGTTCGTTAGAACGATGGTTTCGGGAAACACCGACTCGTTTAGCGGCTGATACCGACAGAACTTGTGAGCTACCGATGCTTTCGGGAAACACACCCCTGAGCGGATGAAGCTAAAGCAGTGTTTAACTCACTCGGTGACGGAGCACAGGGAGCAGATGCGCTCGGAGCAAACGCTGCACTGCTGAACACACACGGGACACGCCGGACGCTCACACTGAGAACACGGCCTCCTCGAACCCGAGACCCGCTGACACACACAACACGCTGACGGAGCCGCTGCACAACCTGAACACACACACCACATCACGTTAGCGGTGACAATAGGAGAACAAAACACGCACCAGTGTTCAGATTCAGAGTGTTTTACATAGACTCATGTCAGCATCCAAGGCTGTTTTCAAGGCAAAAATTCAATTACAAAAAAACAAATATCATATAAATACAATAAAACCAAACAAAAACAGCAAGTCATATTATACAAGATTTTTTTTAATTGACATGATAAAAAAACAAAATAAAAAACTTTTCAGGCATAATCTTACTAAATAAGTCTAAATTAAAAAAAAAGCATTCTACTTGTATAAAGTCCAGGACAATCTAATAAAATATGTTTAAAGGTTAGAGGAATCTTACAAAACATGCTCACCAGTGATGAATACAGGTCTGAAACAAAACAGTCATTTACCCATATGATTTTGTGCATGAATTATATTCTGGAGAATGTGGTCTTGCATGTTTCACAGGAGTAGTACGGGGAAAATACACAATCCTTTTTGTGTTTTATTTCTGATACTTGTCAAATGAGTTTAACAGACTGGCAATGTCAACAAATGCAACATTATTTAGCAATAATTTTTTCTGAAGGAAAATAAAAAATGTTGCATTCTCAAGGATAATTTGGGACCTCTCCTATATCTTATTGTATCTCCAGCAGTGGAATACCCTCTCAGAAGGGGTAGAATATGCTTGAACACACATGTAAGATCCAGACAGGTGAAACATAATACTTTTAAAATCGGTTTGAATGATTGATTCATAAAAACTTCACTTGTTTCCTTACTGGATTAAAGTGCTCTAGCAGTTAATAAACAGAAATGCATGCGTCTTGCGGAAGAACAGATTTGAATGTCCCGGTGTGAAGTTTTTGTCATTTAGGAATAAGATCGCGTGGGTGTTTGAATCGAGATCGTTTAAAGATGAATGGTGCAGCTCTACTGTCTTTATTCTCTCTCTCTGCGTTGATATCTGACGCAAAAAAAAAAAGTAACTTGTTATACGAATAGCGCGAGGGACAGTGCATTCATTACAATTTTAATATTCATGTGGTGAGACGTCGCTATTAAAGGACAAGCTCCCAGCACTTCGTCCACACATCGCATCAGAACCGTTTTCAGAACCGAAACTCAGGAATTTCGCACGGTTCCGGTATTTTTGAAAAAACACTACCGGTTCTGCATAAGAACCGGTTCTCGGTTCCCAACCCTACTGAGCCTCACCTGGATCAGCGTCTGCTTTCTTCAGTCTCCCGTCGAGCCCGATGATGGTCTGTCCCCGGAGGAGCGTCTGATGTCCCGGGACCGGATCCGGACGCTTCTCCTCCTCATCCGCCTTCCAGATGCGACCCATCACGGCTTTGGTCCCGTTGAACAGCAGGCTTTTGGTCTTCTCTAATTAAAACAAAGTTGATAGACAAATTAGGAAAACTCATAAAGACTAGGGATGCACAGATATGAAAAATAGTCGATAAATCTTTTTTTTTTTTTTGAGAGCCTGATTACAACAACAAAAGTCTACCATTAAAAGCCATGTCCCAATTATAATATTGTCATTATAAAGTTATGTAGCCGAAATGATAGACTTGCGTTGCACATGTTGCACTGAACTGTATTTTCCTTTGTTTTTAAAGTGATTTCAATCACATTGAACAGTCTCAGCTGAAGGAAATCAAACATAAAATTGATCAGCTTTAATATATCAGCTAAATTCTTAAATTCTTAACATTAAAAATGACTTATCGGGCAATACCGATTTGGTGGCCGATATGTCTTGCATCTCTAATAAAGACAATACGTTTAGCACCGATGTTTAACAATAAACTGCTGGTAAGATTAATCACTTTATATAGTCTAGAAATATTCATATATAATATGGATTATAAATCATGTTATACCTTCATAATATAATAATCTGATTACCTGACCAGCAATATATCATCCTTAAAAGGGCAGCTTTAACTACACGAAATTAAAGTAATAAAAACTGAGCAATAATAAATTATCATTGTTTAAATTGAAGACATTAACACCATCTGGTGATAATTATCATTATTAATTAGCATTAACATGATTATCAAATCACTACAAGCATTAGTTTTGATTATACCGATTATAAAACATTCCAGTGACTTGAATAGTTGACATTGTATAATTTTTCAATCTAATGCTAATCTCTAATGTCTAATGTAACATCTAATGTTATAAGTGTAATAAATATGTTTATATCTCACCGTAAATCTCTTGTTTGTATTTGAGTCCAAAAACGCCACAGTTATTGATCTCCTTCAGGCCAACATGGACTTTATACTGCGAGGAGAAGCTTTCGCTGAAAGGATAGGATCTCTTAGGCATTTTAAAAACGATAGGTTATAAAACACGACGATTAAAGATGAGGAAAAGGAAAAAACAAACTCAACAACAGAACTAATCAACAGCGCGAGCGTGAAGGAAAACAACACGCGTTCGCGCTTTAAGGATTCTGGTTCTTCTTCGCGCGCTTCAGTGGCGCACAGACGCGGGCACGCGCTTAGCGCCCCCTGCCGGAAATGGGTTTAATATTATGTTGTTGTCAATATGACCACAATCATTTTTAGAGAGAGATTGTACAAAAAAATATACATTTTTATTAATACAAATGATATATCATTTGTTTCGTTTACTTCTCATCTATACATTTGTGCTGTGTTTTGGGGTATATAGTACTTTTTTATTTTTACCTGTTTACGGCAAAATTCTTCAACTACACCATTAGCAGGGCTTGACATTAACACCCGCCAACCCGCCAAATGCGGGTGCATTTCACCCGTGGCGGGTAACACAGTCACTCTCACTAGCCACTTTGGCGTGTTGAAGATTTGTAGTCTTGTCAAAGGACATCTGACATAACAAACGAATTGCAATTTGACACTATGCCACTACCACTCCCATGAGTACCACCTGCACATAGTTTAGTGTTTGCTCATTGGTCCATTCGTGAATCCTCTTGAACGACAACACTGCAAACAAGAAGACACGCGGAGATTAAACTCGCGGACTGTGCGACGAACTGGGCTGTTTTAGTCTGCCCTTAATTATCAACTTAATGTGATGATATAGCGATCTTTTTTTAATAGCAGGAGAATCCAGACCACCGGCGTGTCTCACGCTCTCCTGCAGTGCCGCTGCGCGAGGGTGCGCGCGCCAAACGAACGATCATCACACGCGACTGGTCGCATACACACACACATCAACACAGCGTTCAGTCAGTTCGTGAGTGTGCATGGCCGGTATTAAAGCAAAAATCATCTTCATGATTAAGGGCCACGGTGTAGGCCTAACTACTAGCAGGGCTGCCCTTATGTCACGTCATATCACAACTATCTTTCCAGAGTTAATTCTATGTTTTAATAAAATTAATCATGCCATGAAAGAAAGCAGGAGATGCGCTTGTGGGAATAATCTGGAAAATAAAGACCTGTAGGCCTATACTTGTTTCAGGTGGACATATCTCCAGTTACTCAGAGCTTCATGATGATAATTATTAAGTCAGAGCTCTGAGGAAAAGCTGATGCAAAACAAACAATCCAAAGTCCTATATAGTCCTATATAGCCTATATAAAGTTGTAATCCTGGTGCCTTAATTGTGGATTTTTTCTTTAAAATTATTATTTATTCTTTGCTCGTTGTTTCTAATGCAGATAATTGTTCTACTCTGTATTGCAGTATTTACTGCTGTAAAACAAAAAACAAACAAACAATGCAGCACTTTTATTATATACAATAAGAAGCTATTTTATGTGTGTATCTTAGACAACATGTTATCAAAAAAGGAGCTTAACAACCTTATCAGAGCTAATGATAATATTAGTTTATTTTAGCACGTTTTCAGCCCCATTGTCAATTTTAATCATATAAAACGTACAACAACAAAACTGTGGCTAGTAAAAATGCTGCGTGGCTAGTCATTTTGGAAAACCACTAGCCACATTGGCTAGTGAGCAAAAAAGTTAATGTCAAGCGCTGACCATTAGCATACATATTAAATATTATATTTTATGAAAAACTATAAAATATGAGTTGTTTCTGGACATTGATCTAGGGCTGCATCCAAAATCGCATATACCTACTTCCCTACTTTATAGTAGGCGAAAAACAGTATAAGTTGCTTTTGGATTTTCATCTGGCATGAATGCAAATCAACATTTTTTCATAAATATTTGCCTTTAAAAGTGTGCTTATGCTATAGTATCTTGTCTTGCACAATAAATTATACTTTGTATCTAATGCAATGACTTTTAAGCATTTCAACGTGATGCATGTGAAACTTTGGGACAGATACTTTGGGGAAACAATACAAATATAATTAATACATTTTAATCCATAACAGTTGTAATGGGGAGAAAATATATCAGTGAATCTATAATCAAATAATGTTATGATTCTGCATTCCTTTGGTTCTGAACCAAATTCCTCCATTTCAGAGCCCTGTGAAGATTGCTGTTGATGTGAGGCAAGAACATTTGTTATAATCTAAACCTGAAACATACTAAACTTTATGGATACTCTGTGTGCAATTCTGTCTGTGGCCATGTTTCTGAATTAATAAAAAAGGAAGACACAAAAAGACTTGAGATTGTTTGTGTTTCAGAGAATTGATCCATTCATTTTGTTATTTAAAATAAGCAATCATTTGGTTTTGCTACTAATAACCATAGATATCCATAATAAAGGCTAGATGTCTCGTCCGCGCTGCTGGCCAATGGAGGTCGGCGTCCGCACTGGCGGCCATCTTGTCACAGGCAGCTCGCTCACTCGTAACATTGCGTTTTATTGGTGCATGTACTTTTTAAATAACCATAAACTTGCTCAATTTTCTACCGATTTTCAAACGGTTTGGTTTGTTATAAACGTCAGAGATGTAGTTATGACACTGCACACTTATGAATAATAAGTGTATCAATAAATAATCATTTAGAAAGAATTATAGCCACGTTAATAACGTTTGTAACAAACCAAACCGTTTGTAAATCCGTCAAGATTTCAACGAGATAAGAGTATTTGTGTTCGTGCTGATCACTCATCTTACATCAGGCACCACAGAGCCCGCCAGAAAGCTTGCCTGTGACAAGATGGCCGACAGTGATGACGATAGAGACTTCGCTGTAAGACATCTAGCCTTTATTATGGATATCTATGCTAATAACATGACTTCTTCTTCTTCTTTGTATTGGCGGATCATATCTTCACGGCATATACCACCATCTACTGGACTATTACACAGGAGTGTGTAAAATTGACGTTGGCAATTGACACATTAAATCATAAAAAAATAAAAACCCCACTAAAGTCTTCTAATTAAACCAGTATCTTTAAGATATATTATGAAATACTCGATTCTTTGTGCCTGTATTCCTTGCTCCTGTAAAATATTATGGATGTCATTTTCTGCATCAAATTCTTTCCATTTCTGTCTAATTCGGTCAAATTTCTTACATTTAAATAAAACATGGATAACATCCCCCAGAACTTTGCATTCAGAGCACATGCCATTACTTTTATCTATCAAGGATAATGTGGATAATAACATGCCCTTATATGTTAATTCATTTTATTCTGCGTAGTAAAGAATCAATGACTTTCACCTGTGACATATTGATTGAGTAAATTGGCAGGTGCCGAGAAAAATGATGCTTGTCACGAGAGAGGTGGAGCCATTGTGATTCACACCTGCATAAATTTGGATGGTAGCACCCTAGTGTGTTATTGAAACCAGCTTGGCAATAATGGGGTTTTGGCAGGTTGGATTTGGATTGGTGTTTATTCTTGCACTTGGATTTTCCGAAGCACAATGGAGAGCAAGAGCAGCACATAGTGGGAGTCCAAGTGGGTTTAGGCCTCGAGCATTAGCTCAAGCTTCTCAACTGGCTGATTCCACGATGGTTCCCAGTAATACTGTATTTGGACCACAAAGGTTTCCAGTCAGGGCTGACTTTGGAAAGCCTTCTCAAGATCTTATGGGTGTTCAGTTAAAAGAGCTGTTGCAGGGTCCGGTGGCGAAACTGGCGTGGAGCTTTCCAAGTCTGCCAGAGGAACCACAGCAGCCAGACGTTCCTTTTGATTTGCCTTATCTTGTCCCTGCCAACAGTGTAGCCGCTCAGTGTGGAGAGAATTCAGTATATGTGGAAGTGATGAAGGACTTCTTTGGGTCTGGGCACCCACTGTTGTCCTCTGGTTTTACACTGGGAGGCTGTCCTGCAACTGGAGAGGACTCTTCTGCTCAAGTGCTGATCTTTGAGTCTGAACTGCATGGATGTAGTGGCACATCAATGGTAAGGTTCTGTTGTGACAATAGGTATTCTGAACCGTCCACTGTAAATGATTTTTTGTTGTTGTTTTTAAACGGTAAAAGACTGTAAAAATGCTACAGTGCAAAACTGTTAATTGGTTAACAGAAAGTTTCCTTACTATATACGGTAAATAACTGTGATCGAACGGTACATTACGGTAAAATACCGTTAAATTTACAGTTTTTGAAAGTGGAAAAAGAACATTGTATAATTTACAGTGAAATTTCCTCCCACAATTCCCTGCGAGACTTCACATTTGATTTTTTTTTTTTTTTGTTGTTGAAATAACAGTTTTCTTAGTTCGTTTCTAATCCGTTATGTAGGCTACATTAGGGTTTTATGTTACATTTAATGTTAAATTAATATTTATTGCATTTTTAAAATTTCATATGTAACCATGATGGTGTTTAATGTTTGTGTGAATAACACTGTGCAGCTTCTATATAATAGTATTAACTTTCTTGTGGAAGACTGCTTGTGATGACCTTTGATTTACCATGTGACTCATCACTACTATGATTGGTTGTTAGTATATTATAATGGTACAAATCAGATATTAATACTTCAATAGGTTGGTAAATTAACAATATAACAATGAAATATGGTTTATTACTGTAAAACCAATGACGTTGATATCGTATTTTTAACGGTAAAGTTCTGGTAACCACAGCTGCCAGTTTTTCCGTAAAAACAACGGGATTTTTTTTACAGTGTCCATGTGACCATTTTTCTATTAACCTTTCTGTTTAGGTGACTGAGGATGAGCTTGTCTATAGGTTCAACATTATCTACACCCCACAAAAGGTTTCATATGGTGTTCCTATTGTCAGGAGCAGTGGTGCGGTGGTTGGTGTCGAGTGCCATTATCCAAGGTGAGGATTCAATTAATTCATGCCCCGTTTACATGAAGGGAAATATTAGTTTCTCTAAATACCCGGCTATGTGTAAATGGCTCACTGGATGTTCTAATCCTGGTGTTTATGGGCAAGAGATGACCGCTTGTTTAACTCCTACAGAACGCATAATGTGAGCAGCGATGCCTTAATGCCCACTTGGATCCCATATGCCTCAACTAAGGTTGAAGAGGAAGTCTTCGTCTTCTCCCTCAAGCTCATGACTGGTTGGTGTAGCCCATTTGTAGTATGCTTGTGAATCCTCTGTGTTCAAGGGATAGTTCACCCCAAAATGTAAACTCTGTTAGTTATTACTCTCCCTCATGTTGTTCAACCCCGTAAGACTTTCGTTCATCTTCGAAACACAAATAAGATATTTTATTAAATCTGAGAGCTGGATCACTCCTCCATAGGCTGCTAGTCTAAGGGATCGAAACTTGCCGGCCCAGAAAAGTTATTAAAGACATCGTTAAAATAGTCCGAGTGACTACAGTGGCTTAACCTTAAGTTTATCAAGCGACGAGAATACTTTTTGTGCGCAAAAATAACGACTTTATTTAACTCTTCATGTTCTTCTCTGTGGGCCTCGAGTGAGTTCACGTAGTGTCGCAGCGCTTCTGTGTTGTACGTCACACACACGACCAGCGTCGGCCAATAGTGAGCCTATGTGTGACGTACGACACAGAAGCGCTGCGCTGTTACACTACGTGAACTCACTCGAGGCCCACAGAGAAGAACATGAAGAGTTGAATATTTTTGTTTTTTGCACACAAAGTATTCTCGTCACTTGATAAATTTAAGATTGAACCACTGTAGTCATTTGGACTATTTTAACGATGCCTTTAATAACTTTTCTGGGCCGGCAAGTTTCAATCCCTTTTAAGAAGCCTATGGAGGAGTGATCCAGCTCTCAGATTTAAATCAAAAATATCTTAATTTGTGTTTCGAAGATGAACGAAAGTCTTACGGGGTTGAACAACATGAGGGAGAGTAATTACTGAGACTTTCATTTTGGGGTGAACTATCCCTTAAGTATTTTTTTTTCTTTGCAGATGACTGGAGATTTGAGAGATCTTCTAACCAGTACTTCCTGGGAGACATGATAAATCTTGAAGCATCCGTGCGTTCGTACAGCCATGTTCCCATCCGTGTGTTTGTGGACCGCTGCGTGGCGACTGCAGTCCCTGATGTTGCTTCCGTCCCCAGTTACTCCTTTATTGAGAATAATGGGTAAGCGGTGCTACCTCATGAATCTTCCAGAAGGGTTGCGTGACTTCTAACTGGGTTCTCTTCACAGGTGCCTGGTTGATGCCAAGCTCACAGGCTCCACGTCTCACTTCATGCCCCGGACTCAAGGTGATAAGCTGGGGTTTCAGCTAGAGGCGTTCCGGTTCCATCAAGCAGACAGTGGGCTGGTATGCATGTCCTGTAGTTGTGCAACTCTTTGTATTTTTCATTTAACCAGGTAAGCGCATTGAACACGTTCTCATTTACAATGGCGACCTGGCCAAGATAAAAAGCGAACTGGAAGGAAAGCCGGCCAAAAGAAGTACGAGCTTTAGTAGCCATCAGAGTAATATACTTGCTTGAACAAAGGTTCATACAGGGGATTGCTCTGGAAATTAATGATCTTAGATGGTGTGGTGTGTTACATAGTAAACATTTGTAAATGAGATGATACCAATGTTTTTGACGCCGGGTATGTAGTGAAGGCCAGCCGATTAAACTGTAGAGGCTGCAATGGTGGGTGTTATATGGAGCATTGGTGACAAAACGGATGGCACTGATATACGACATCCAGTTTCCTAAGGAGAGAATTTGAAGCGGTTCTATAAATGACATCACCAAAGTCAATAATTGGAAGGATAGTAATTTTCACCAGGTCAATGATTTGGGCACCAGGGTATGATTTGCTGCCATATGGTGTACAAACGATTGTCTCTGCAGGTCTACATCACATGCATTTTGAAGGTGGCTGCCGCAACCTCTACAAGTCCTGAACGGAAAGCTTGTTCGTTCTCTGCTAATGGGTATGTTGCCTGATAGATAAGTGTACAGGTGAATTGGTTGCGTTAAAGGAGAACTCCGGTCAATTTTAACATTGAGCTCATTTTTGTGTAAATTTGTAGTGCTGTCAGTACAGAGAACAACGACAAATGTGTTTCCTACAGTGTTATCCTCTTTTTAAAATTTGCACCCTGTTGACTTAAATGGGGCAAGTTTTAAACCTGCTTTTAGCCTCTTAACATCGTTGATGTGTCATTACAAGTGCACAGCCATGTGAGTGATTTTTTTTTTATTCAGAGTAACGGTGAATCTGACTGCAGTAAATGTGAAAGATATGAATAAAAATTGTTTATTCTGCCAGCTCACATACCTGTATTTACTTCCTGTTTTCAGTCAAAGTCCACAGTAGTTGATTGTCGGGTTATCATTGATTGCTTGGTTGCATAGATATCCCTAATAAAGGCTAGATGTCTTACGGCGGAGTCTCTATCGTCATCACTGTCGGCCATCTTGTCACAGGCAAGCTTTCTGGCGGGCTCTGTGGTGCCTGATGTAAGATGAGTGATCAGCACGAACACAAATACTCTTATCTCGCTGAAATCTTGACGGATTTACAAACGGTTTGGTTTCTTACAAACGTTATTAATGTGGCTGATTTATTTATACACTTACTATTCATAAGTATGCAGTGTCATAACTACATCTCTGACGTTTATAACAAACCAAACCGTTTGAAAACCGGTTGAAAATTGAGCAAGTTATGTTTATTTAAAAATTACATGCACTTGTAATGACACATCAAGGATGTTAAGAGGCTAAAAGCAGGTTTAAAACTTGCCCCATTTAAGTCAACAGGGTGCAAATTTTAAAAAGAGGAAAACACGGTGTAGGCAACAGATTTTACAAAACTGAGCTCAATGTTAAAATTGACGAGTTTTCCTTTAACTTAATTGAGGGTTTGTTTTGTCAGGTGGGTGTCTGCAGATGGTTCTGACCCGGTGTGTGGCTGCTGTGACGCCACGTGTAGCATCAGAAGTGGAAGTGATCAACTACTTACAGGTTTGGACTAACTCTGATAACTTGTTCTTCTCATACATGGCTCTAGTTCTCACTAATCATTTGCTCCTCAGATCTACGCTGGGAAAGAGCATCTGTCGGCCCCATCAATGTTAAAGAATATGGCCAAAAATAACTGGAAATGTCATGTGACTTCTGGTGATTTAATAAATGCTGTTAATGTATTTGTTTTAGTTGTCTTTACTTGCACAAATACTACACTTAAACATATTTATCCAGTTTACATGGTTTCTGTTCAGATATGTACCGCAAAAAGCTTATTTCTACTGGCCTATGTGGGGGGACATTTTGCTCAAGTCATTTCTGGTGCTTTGTTTATATTGTTTCATGTTGAGAGAACCGGTAATCTCCTCATGCTGGAGGGAGAGTGTGCCGCTAGGCCTATTACAACACAAAAGGGCATTTCAATAGCATCATACTTGTGCTTACCGCATGATTTAATTAATTGGGGTTTAAGTGTACGCTGAAACCCTATTGTATTTGATAGAATTTCTAAGTAAGGACTTAAAACTTTGAGGGATGCTGGTATACCCACCCTGTTTATAGGGGCTTTTGCACCAGAGGAACCTTTTCATAGTTCCTAGAGCTATTGGTGGAAGCACCTGGATTTTGGCGTGTTCCCACCGCAGGAACTAGGAACGATTTTAGCTCCTACTTCAAAGTAGAGTCTTAACCTGTACTATAGGAACTATCCGTAACGTAATGGCGCTTTTCCACGGCACACTTTGGCGCTTTTCCACTGCATGGTACGGCTTGCTTTAACACTAGAACTCCCAAGGCAGTCATTTTGACTGTTTTAATTTTGCAATGTAATAACTGTTGAAATAAAACCGATGTAACTATAGGACCCTGACTTTTCCGAAATGTGTCTTTTATTCTATCATTGTTATTTTATTAATTACAAGACATTAAAGAGTTGAGTATTTCTACCTTCAATGGCCATAACAGTCATACTGGCCGTATGCATTACAGACCGTGTCGGTTGCTCCTTTTCCCCGCTCTTGAAGATGCATCACCGTTGACTAGCAACAAATTCTCTTGTTTGTTTTGTCTATTGCAAAGCTGAAATCTAGCTTTAGCTTCAAGCTAAAACAAAATTGAAATATTGAAAAGAGAATATCAGAACAATGTCAGCAAGAAGAATGACTGCCTCAGAGGCTTTAGCCATGCTTCAGAGCCTTGATGAGGCTGAGTGGTTGTTAGTTAACTTATACTTTTTTACATGCATCAATTAATGTAGTGTTCTGATGTTTATTATTACCTATCCTAACATTAGAGATCCATTTATTCTTAGATTTGATATAGCTTACTGAAATTATATGCAAATAATGTATGAGCAGTCAATGACTGCTATGGTCATTATAGTAGTTATAGAATTCTGGGAGTCCTAGTGTTAAATGGTACCACCTCTGTTGAGGTTCCAAGTGTACCGTACCATAGATATCCATAATAAAGGCTATGTCTCGTCCGCACTGCTGGTCAATGGAGGTCGACGTCCGCACCTGGCGGCCATCTTGTCACAGGCAGCTCGCCCGCTCGTAACATTGTGTTTTAATGGCGCATGTACTTTTTGAATAACCATAACTTGCTCAATTTTCCGATTTTCAAACGGTTTGGTTTGTTATAAACGACAGAGATGTAGTCATGACACTGCACACTTATGAATAAGTGTATCAATAAATAATCATCCAGAATTATAGCCACGTTAATAACGTTTATAAGAAACCAAACCGTTTGTAAATCCGTCAAGGTTTCAACGAGATAAGAGTATTTGTGTTCGTGCGGATCACTCATCTTACATCAGGCACCACAGAGCCCGCCAGAAAGCTTGCCTGTGACAAGATGGCCGACAGTGATGACGATAGAGACTCCGCCGTAAGAGATCTAGGGCTGCGTTCCAGTCATAGACAGTAAAAGAAATGGACAGAGCGATCTCATTGGAACTCAGTTGAGACAGTTGAAGCCCATTTTTAGCGATTTTTGAGAACTTCCGTTCCTGACGCGCAGACTCAGACCGACTCAAACTAAGCTTGATGACGTGAGCAACCTGTCTGACAGACGTTACTCTTCTAGTAGCTGTGCGTGAAAACTGCCAACGTTAATCTTGCAGAGACGGGGAACTTGAGCAAAGAGTTCTTTGGCGTGAGTGAGCAGGAGTAAGTATTCCGTTGCTTTTATGGACTCATTATCTATGGGCTTCTCCCTTGACGGGACGTCCCCCCGATTGCCTGCGAGCTTCTCCTCCTGTCTGTACGGTACTTTCTGTACAGCGCGACAGAGAGTCGAGTGGTTATGACGCAATCGTTAGCCTACTTTTACTAAATCTGTTTCTACGGGGCCATAGTGTAACATAGAAGGTAATGGAGCCCTTTATGCATTGTCGTGTTTCTTTAGAAATAAATAATGGACAAATGGAGTCTTTAAACGCCTCAGATGTAAAGTTATTCGCTGTCAAAGTGACGCAAAAATGAATGGGAGTCAATGGAAATGCTAACGCAAGTGAAGTTCTGCTACAACATGGCGGCACCCGGCCGGCTTCAACTTCCGGTCGATGGATTACCCCCTTGGTTCCAGTCCACTTTTAGACACGCACTTGCGAACTTCCCTAAGCACTTCCCCTCGGGGGAATCCCTGCGGCCATTTTGAAGTGCGTTCCACTTCATGAAGTGGACGAGGGAAGTTTGAATGAACAGACACTTGTTCCCTCGATTTTGACAGAGGGAGCGAGTCTACTTCATATGTACACTTCAGGCAGCTCCATATACCACAATGCAACACAATTGTGACGTCACCGCAGATCTCGTCTAATCACCACCACCACAAACAACTCTGATATATTAATTATATATATTTTTAATTTAAAAAAAAAACAAACACACCTATATACATTTGGATGCTGCATTAAACAAATTCTTAAAGGAAAAAAATTTAAATAATAAATCAACTCCACAGCTGATTCCAAGTGATGAAGGGCTTAGCCTTAGGACGTTCCAATTCAGCCAATTGCAGTTTCCGCCAGTAGTGGGCACTCGTGCAACGTAAGCAATGACGTACATCCGAGTGAACAAGACGGAGGGAAGTTAGCAAGTGAAGGGCATGACAATTTTGGACTGGAACGCAGCCCTAGCCTTTATTATGGATATCTATGTACCGTACCGATACTAAAATGTGACGTAAAAACACTGCAGATCACTGATTGGTCAGAATCGTCACTACCAGCGTCATTGTATTTAAAGGCATCAAATCGCTGATTGGCCGAACGCACGCGAAACACCAGCACTTGCCATTATTATAAAGGCTGTGTAAACACAGATTATAGCCTATATACTTCAGAAACTCTACGAACATAGAAAACGGTGATCGATGGGCCTCTTAACCTCTACGCTGAGGAGAAAATCCAACGCAACTGAGGGGACCAAGCGAAACATGATTATGTATTTCTGCTCAGCAACACTGGACATCAACCACATGACATGCGCTAATAACTTTGCATTACTGTCTACTTTTTGATGTATAACAGTTCTATCTAATAACAGTATAATAAGGGGAGAACTCCCACTCTCAGTAACGTCCGGCTTCTGAACTGGCTGCAGTTCCACTCTGGCTCCACATGAGGGCGCTCACAGGACGAGTGCAGAATGATGGAGGTCTATGGAGCGATACCCCTCAAAATACACTTTTCTCACGATATATTTTTTTGTCTAGTAATTTGAATGTTGTATTCGAAACGAGATGCAAAGAAATAACTCATTGTTGGGTGTTAGATTTTTTAAAGTCACTTATTTGCTTTAAAAAGTCTTTGAAAAATGTCAATGACGTCATACACATCGTACGACCAGAGATACTGCTTTACGGCAATCCTTCAGTCACTTTGGTGCGTTCGCGCTCTGCACTTTCTGTTCTCTCGAGACAGCCAACACAGGTAAACACACGTGCTAGAAGAGTTTTGTAAAACTAAAGTTCTTAATTTTCTGGTCCGGATGCCATCAAGCGGTATCTCTGATCGTAATCAGTCCTTCACTGACCAACCAGCGATCATTAGCAGAATGCTAGCGTGTTATGGGCAACAACAACTCAACCTGTAAGAAATAGAAAGGACATATGCACTCGTTCATTCAACTTTAGACCTATAACCAGAGCCGGCCCTAGACCTTTGGGGGCCCTAAGCAAAATTTGGTTGGAGGCCCCTTTGACCGTTTTAAGGCCTAAAGAAAAGCAATGACTACCTTATAACTATACCATACTATATAACTATATTATACTGTATATACTATGTTTGATGTCTAACAGGAAAATTATGATACCACTGAGCTGAATGGCAGTCCAAGACACACACACACACACACACTGATTAACTTGCTGAATAAAAAGACAGATAAAGTGATTATCACTGAACAAAGATACATTTTTATTGACACCAGAGTTTAAGAGTCACAAACAACAGCACATATATATATATATAAAATGTAAATTAAATAGAGCAAATAGAATAACATTTAAATATAATATTATATAAAATAATAAATAGATTTTTCAAATAAACAAAATTAACAATAACATCTAAAACACCACAAAGAAGATCAATAGTAACAATATTAAGAATAAGGTAACATTTCAATATAACTATTAAAATCCAATCCAAATAAAGAAAATAATTATACATAAAGTTAGACTTAATTTTTAAAATGCAGAAGGTTATCATTTTACAGCCCCTTTATACTCACCAACAGCTGGAGCTTTGCTTACTGGCAGCATAGCGTTACTTTAATAGTGCTCCTAAGGGGATATAAGGAGTAAACTAATGTTAGCCCTTTAGTGTTGAATCCAAACTGGGTTTATATTGTTCTGTTAAATGCTTTAACAGTAACACCACAGCAAATGGTATAGGCCTAATACTAAACCAATTTTATGCAGCATGTTATTAGCATGTAAGTTAAACAACTGTAGAAAATTAATACAAGCACGATTTAGGCTAATGTTAAAATAAGACTTTTAGTGCAGATTATCCATATTACAGAAATCGGAAAATTAAGCCTATAGGCCTACGTACCTTTATCTTCTTGCTTCTTCTCTTCTTCCAGGCTCTTTTTTGTCGTTTTTCTTGGCCAGAAAGATATTTTCGTTTCTTGTCAGACATCGTCGATTCGTCGGAGTCGCTAACTGA